GGGTGTTAGCGGAGTGCCTAACAATGCCCCTTAGCTGTTATAAATTCACTGTAAACCACGGCTTCTTATTGCTTTATTTTATAATCGTTCTTTCCTTTTCAGTCGCCTTCATTAATCACCTGTCAATCATCTCCCACGTGTGTTCTGAGTGAAGATGCGGTGTTGATGTTAGCGTGTCATCTCTGAGCGAATGCATTTAACGCCTTTCATCTGCACTCACCGTGGGTCGCAGCTACAGTGAATCCCAGTGAAGAGCCGCTGAGCGTGGAAACCCGAGCCGGAGCGTCTGGTTAAGAGGCCACATATGACTTGCATACTGATGATGTGTTTGTGGATAAACTAGATATTGAGATGTCCCATAAAATGTGACTTTGGCTTTGTGCTGGTATCCATGCTGTATGAATGGCAAAGACTGCAGCTATTGTGAGCGTGTCTGAATCGGTGGCCCGACGCCAGATTTCCTCCAGCACTACTTTGCTTTCTGCTGCCATGTGTAACATATTTCGAGGGGCATCAGATGGACCGATGGCTGCTGGGTAACAAAGAACTGTTGAGGAGGCCAGTGCTGCAGAACATACGCTTCACATCTATACGAGGCCAGACACTCCAGTCAGTGTTTCTACATTGTGCTCCATTAATGATACATTAACATTATTTATGTATTATTACGGAAACTGAAATTAAAGCTTTCATTTAGCCAAAAACGAATTAATTTAAATGTATTTAATAATCAACACAAAATAAAAACGGTTTTTATTCCAATTTGTTGTTGAAATATTAAAGCAATAAGCCCCGTGAAGCCGTGGTTTACAGTGAATTTATAACAGCTAAGGGGTGTTGTGGAGTGCCTAAAACCCCCTTAGGTGTTATAAATTCACTGTAAACCACGGCTTCACGGGGCTTATTGCTTTTATAAAACGGTTATTCCACGGTAAACGGTTATTTGCCAACAGAGCAAATAAAGTGTAATGTTATTAATAAAAACATTATTCTTCCACCAAACAATGTAGCTCCTCAGAAACAGTTGTGGTTGCAACAAAGTGGTTGCCGAGCAACAGACAAACGTAAACAAAGGTGTATGTTACTTTGTAGAGTAATTTACATACAGCTTCGAACGCGGCTCAGCCAATCAGAATCAAGCACCGGAATCAAGGATTTTTCATGACAGATGAAGACATCTGGTTAAGTACAAATATAAAGAATATGTAACAGAGTGCATATATTTAACAGAATATTTATTTTTTCTAGCTATAAATATTTCGTTCAAAACCATACATTTTTAATGCAGAAATTTCTTTCGAAATAATTTTTTTTACCAAAACAGAAAATAAAATTTTCATTTAGCCAAAAACTGAAACAGAAAATGATGCTTATTTAATAATCAATTAATTAATCTCATTTATTTAATAATCAACACTCAAATAAAACCCGAGTTGTATACAAACATTAAATTGTTTTTATACTTTTTCATGATATAATTATGTTTCTACTCCAAATCATTGTTGAAATATAAACATTTAAATCCGAAATTAAAGTTTCCATTCAGCCAAAAACTGAAACCGAAACGGATGCTTATTATAAAAGTCAATCAATAAATTCAATCAAGTTTATTTAATAATCAACACTAAAATAAAAAGAGAGTTTAAGAGTTTTATCTAAACTTTTCAATGATATAATTATGAATATAATTAGTAATAAAAACTAGTTTAAAACCAACATCCATTAAATAATAAAGACAACACTAACAGGTTAAGTAAAAATGTAACGAACATGTAATATAATGCATTTGTGACCCTGCAGCACAAAAGCAGTCTTAAGTCGCTGGGGTATATTTGTAGCAATAGCCAACAATACATTGTATGGGTCAAAATTATACATTTTTCTTTTATGCCAAAAATCATTAGGATATTAAGTAAAGATCATGTTCCATGAAGATATTTAGTAAACTTCCTACCGTAAATATATCAAAACTTAATTTTTGATTAGTAATATGCATTGCTAAGAACTTCGTTTGAACAACTTTAAAGATGATTTTCTCAATATTTAGATTTTTTTGCACCCTCAGATTCCAGATTTTCAAATAGTTGTATCTCGACCAAATATTGTCCTATCCTAACAAACCATACATCAATGGAAAGCTTATTTATTCATCTTTCAGATTATTTATAAATCTCAATTTAGAAAAATTTACCCTTATGACTGTTTTTGTGCTCCACGGTCACATATATTATGAAGCAACATGCAAAAACTGTGAAAACGCATCACGGCTTCAGTGCCAGACCCACATACCACATCCACACATTAAACGTGCTTCCAGCTGCATTATAGCCGTCGCAGAGCAATTTTCTGCCAATATGGCCTCCAGGATGAGTTTAGCAGCACCGATCCTGCATGTAGCCCCAGTTGGCAGCGCTTTTGAAGGCAACTGAAGCGCTCTATTCACTCTGGAGCGCCGCACTAAAGGCCTTTCAAGCTCCAGATTAGTGTTTTGCCCTACACTTTGGCCCCTGGAGTTTAATATCCCGCCAGCGGAGGTCTGGTTCCCATCTGACGTGGCGATGGGGTGAGGAGCGCTGGGCATTTAAAGATGACCAGCTTGTTAAAGA